GGCGTACCCCTGGGGGGGGCTTGCTTTGGGGTCACCTCACCGGGTGGGACGAGGGCAGATATGGGGGAAGCGGGGGGGTGAGGGGTGAGGTTGAGGGAGGTGAGATAAGTAGGGATGGGGTGCGGTGGGGCGGGAGGAGGGACGAGGTAGCTAGCACCTGGCTTGTGAGGGCCCCAAAAAGCGTTACGGCGCGGCAGCGGCTGGCAGACCCAACCGTCGAGGGCGGGCTGCGGGTGCCCGCTGCGCTCCCTGCGCGCTGCTCTGCGCTGACACCGGCCCTGTCCCAATGATATTGCCAGGGCTGGTCGAACCCGGCGCCAACGGCCTCGCTTTCTGCAGAGCCCTGGCTCGCTCTTGCGTGTAGTGGGTTGGCGGTGACAACAAGGCGGCCCACCTGCCAGTGCAGTCCGAGGTGCGCACGTCCACTCCAAAATCCAGCAGCGTCTTGGCTGCGGGCGGGGCGCCGCGGCGGCACCCACGTCAGTGCGCGGCGCGGCGGGGCGCACGTGCAGTCTGCTGTATCCTTTGTCAATGGGCCACGGACTGCGTCACAAGCACCAGCGAGCACCACGCCAACTCCAGCATTCTGCTACAGCCCGTGCACTCTTGCCACTCAATCCTCCCCCAGCCCGCCACCCCGCCGCGCCGGCCAACGCCCCATCGCACCGGTCTCGTGGTGCCCCATCTCCGCCGCCCAGTGCAGCGCCGTCCGCATGAGCCTGTCGCGGCAGTTGACGTCAAAGTCTATCGTGCGCTCGATCGCTCGGACGCACCACGCGGTGTTGCCGCGCTCGGCGGCGTCGTGGAAGGTCTTGGGGGCCTCGTTTCGGTCCTCATCCAGGTCGTACACCGCGAATTTGTTGGGCTCTGCGGAAGTCAGCAGCGGGGTGGCTTGGTTCGGAGGGCAGGGGAGCGGGCGGGCACTCCCAAGCAAGTTGGCTTGCGGTGACGGGGCGCACGCGGCGGGAACGCGACAGAAACGCCCCTGAGCCTGCAGCTGGTGCGGTAGAGCATCGTCGAGTGTGCGTGCGATTGGGCTTACTTGATCCCGCCGGCGTGTTGACGGCGAGTTTCCCGGGACACGGTCCGTGCCCTGCAGCAGGCGGCACCGCGAGCGCCGCCAAGCGCCCCGACGCCGATAGCGTGCTACTCATAGCTATCCTGCCCACGAGAATATACGTCGAAAATTCTGATGCTATTAGCGTGCAAGTTTCTTAGTGCCGATCGCAAACGCAGCCTGGTGGTGCGACAAGTCAAACGTCAGCAGGGTCAAGAGAGTGCAGGAGGTGTACATCGGCTTTCGCCTGGCATCAAGTCAGGTGAATCTGTGTACCTCAACTTGATGCGCCATGTCAGATCACAAGCGGAAGCTGCGCGACTGTGGCGGGTGACGCGGAGCCCAACGATACGTCCAGGCTCTTGCTTACATTGCGCATACTGCCTGCTGATCCCCACCGCCTCTTTGCTCTATAACCCCTGTCTCAAGCGTTTCGTCAGATCCCGGCACTTTTCACCAAGATGGCCCAGACGGGCAGGTGCGGCTTGAGCTACGGTATGAGAGCGCCAGAGCTCTGATTTCCACCATACGCCCGTCCTACACCCGAACAAGGGTCATTCGCGTGCGCCGCACTGTCCTGCACCCGGCGCACCGTCATCATCGCATCGCAGCTGCGCCGCTGCCCCAGCCCCTGTCTGTCCTGGCGCAGGACAGCGGGTGTGAGAGGGCATGCAATTCTGTATCGTCTCCGTCCCGACTCCTCGGGGACTCGATCGTGTTGGTTCTGCGCCACTGGCACAAATACCCTTGCGCCGGCGCAATTGCGCTGTCACCGCCACATCCTCCCGCACCTCGCGCACCCTCTGCGCCCGCAGCGGCGGCGGGCAGCCCGAGGGCACCCCCAAGCTCAAGGCCCCCAGCCCGGGCCCTGATGGGAATGAGGATGTTGCAAAGAAGGTGCGGCCATGCCGCAGTGCGCAGGGACGGATGGGTGCCTACCAGGCACCCGTGCTGAAACAGCGGGTGCGACACAGGCCCCTGCTGCACCCATTGCCCAGCCTTGCTCCATTTTCATCGCTCCCCCGACCCTCTGGATATCAAACTTGCCCGCTCGCTCCGCACATCGCGCCGCCCCTCGCCCCGCCACCCCTGGCCATTTGCTGTACAGGCCGCCGCGCCCCTCGCCACTGCAAGCTCCCACTCCGACCCCTACCCCCACTACATCATGGTGAGTCAGCAAGCCAGCCTGCCCAGCCGGCCAACCCAACTGGCTGGTCAGTCAGTGGAGAAGACGGCCGGCGGGAGACATAACGCAGCTGCCACAGCACACGCCTGTGTGTTGATCGTCCAGCTTCTCTGGTGTGTGTGTGTTTACCCCGTACGTCTGCGGCTGGTTTTGATGGGTTCATCAAACAGGGCTCAGCTGCAATTGTGCCAGCGGCATCACCCGCGCCGTCACCACTCACGCACCCTCACAGTCTGGAGCCTGCGCTGGCGCCGCCTACCATTCATATGCCAACCTCAACAACCCGCGCGCGGCCGGCATCAAGCTCGTGTTTGGCGCCGCCTACCTGTGGGCAGGGTGAGCAGGGGCTGCCTCCATCGAATGGCGAGCAGCCCCGCGTTAGAGAATTCCCCCCTCCATCCCCCCCCTCTCTCCCCCGAGCGCGCGACCGCCGTCCCGGCGTCGTTCCTCAATCCCCAACCCGCGACCGCATTCACAAGCGCCACGTGCCTCCACTTTCTGACCTTCAAGGTCGCCCCCCGACTTGCCCCCTTGGCCCCCACCCCACCTCACCACACCCCACCCCACTGATATCCCGATTCCACGAGCCTGGACGGCTCCAGAAGCGGGCGACCGCGGGACGCTGTAACAACCCCAATCCCTCACCCCCACGCCGTCACCCAGCCGCATGCTGTACACCGGCAACCCCAAACTGGGCTACGACCTCGGAACCATCACCTCCCTCGGGGTACGCCTGCGCGCCGGCCGCTAGCCGAGGCTGCTGTGCAGCGCGCTTGCCTCCGCGGGCTGCTGCGCTGCCCTGCGCTCCTGGGCAGTTGGGTGCCGCATGCCCGGGGCTTTGCAGCGCCAGGCCCCTCTTGCTTTAAATTCCAGCCAGCCCGCATGCATCAGGCTCACCCTCGCACGCACCGGGCGATGATTTCTGCGTTCGGCGCGGCTTGCCTGGAGCTGCTCCTGCTGACAGAATTCTCCCAACTTACGCACGCACGCGATCATAATCTACTGCCCCCGTGTCGCGCTTTGACCCGGCGCCTGCCGACAGCTGCTGGCCTTCACAGGTGTGGCAGCGGTGCCCGACTTGTGTTGCCTGCTGTCATCCCCACGATTGCCACGCGTCCAGCTCCCGCGGCGGAGGAGCGCTTTCACTCACTGGCACAGCGTACAGTCACTCCAGGGGTTGCCGTGAAGGCAATCCTCTGGCAGCTTCTGCTGCCCTCTTTGCACCTTTGCACATTCATCTATACAATGCTGGGAACGCACCCTCCGTCCCAGAGAGCACTTTGACCACGGCTCGCCTGTTTTATAAACTCCTCCAAACGCCACTGTGCGTCTCCCGCCCTCCCCTGGACCGCCACTCAGGCCCGCGCGCGTACAACACTGCTGAGACGGCGTCCACTGTCATGGCCAGCCTGGGCGGTGAGGCGGCCCGCACACCCAACGCCCGCGCGCCTCGGAGCACAAC